CGCCCGGGCCTGGGCCTGAGTCCCCAGGAGGTCGCTCCCGGTAGGCGGTGACGGTGACCGCTTCAAAGGAAGCCCACAAGAAGCGTTCCCCCCACCCCGCGAGCGCGCGGTCCTGAGGGCTGGCGCCGGGCTGCTTTCCCGGCCGGTGCGCACTCAACGAGGCCCTTTATCTCTGTCTCCCGAGCTTGTCCAACACCGGTCCACCGCCCCTTCCCGAAACTACGCAGACCGGACTGCTTCTGCCTGCAAGCAGCAAAATACTCACCGCACACATAACGCGCGCCCCGAGCACCCTCTTTCCTCCGCCTCCCCCAGCCCCTGGCCCGCGGGAGAGCAGGATTCCTCTTTGCGCCTCCTGTCCCTCTCTAAACCACCAACTTCTGCAGGGGTCGGGCTCTCTTCCCCTCTCCGGGAGCCGCAGAGTCCCTGACATTAGGATGAGTAGCTCAGCGTCCGCTCCCCAAAATGCGGCCTTTTGCTTACACCGGATGGATGTGGGACCGGACTAAAAACAGAGGCCGCTCTTCGTCCACACGTGACTGAGAGGCCAGAGGCCTTGCGCCTGGTTGTGGGATCAGGAGGGAAAATAAAGAGTCGTTCTGTCAGTTCTCAGGGCTCTCGTTCTTTTCCCTTCTGACTCTTCCTGGTTTTGTTTGTTTATTTCTTTGTTTCTTTGATGCAACTCAGGGATCGGATCGAACTCAGAACCTTGGGCTTGCAAGGCAGGTGCGGCCCCGCTGAGCTACGTCCCGTCCCCGGCCCGTGACCCTTACTTAAGCCCACAATCCCTATAGCAGCTCCCAGCCGGCGGCCTGGAGAAGGACACAGCTGCTCGGAGGTTCTCGCCCAGCCGCCCAACTCAGCTACTTCTTTGTCAGAAATAGAGCCGGCGGCCTAGAAACTCCCTTTCCTTGTGACTTTCATCAAATAAAAAGAATTCCTGGACGACCCCGCCCGGAGGCTCTAGGATGACCCAGTTGCTGTCAGTCACAACCCCAAAAGAACAAGGAAGATGTTTCCGGCCCAGCACCACCGGGGCACCCAGGAGTCCACTGTGATTAATTAGAATTGTTTCATGAGCCCCAAACCCTCCAGTCTGCTACCTGCCTGTTAATCTGATTTCGTGGTTGATTAAAGTACCTGCTTTAATGAATGCTGTTTTTGTTTTGTTTTGTTTTGTTTTTCTGTTTCGCTTTTGCCCTTATTTTTTGTTTCTTTGTTTGTTTTAAGACAGGGTCTCACTGTGTAGTTGAGACTGACCTGGAACTCACTATGTAGCCCAGGCTGGTCTCCAACTCACAGCGATTCTCCTGCCTCAGCCTCCCCAGTGCTGGGATTACAGGTGTGCGCCACCACACCCTGTCCTGCTTTTGTCCTCATAATCTCATTTTGCTGGCACTTTCTATAAAAACATAACTGGTCACACAGGTTTCTCTGGCAGTAGTCAGACTCACTTAAAACCTTACAAAATGGGGCCACTGGGCTGGAGGTTCAGATGAAATTCTACAGGGGTGGAGAGGAGGAGACGCCCACGACAAAGCCCAGTCTTTCTGCACCCCTGGATTAATGGTGAGCACATTCCAACCAGTAAGATGTGGGTGAGCAATGTCTCCCAATGGGGTGCGATCTTTCTATCCTCACTGTCGGCCCCAGTGAAGGAAGCATCTGTTCTTGAGAAATCATTCTTTTAAGTGCAATGTCCATTTCTATCTGAGTACAATAACTTGGAAGTTGTTCCTTGCTTAAAGATGGCATTTTGGTTCTTGTGAGTGACCTGAAATATCTGCTAAAATGAGTAAATAGTTAAAAATAAATAAGATTAATGCCTGTCCAGGGTCACAACAGCATCGGAATCTTCCTATGGCTTATAAAAAGATAATATATCCTGGCCTATTACATGTGTTTTCATAAAATCACCCATACCTATAAGAGGTCAGGATTGTTTTCTTGGGTTGTCTAATGGTTCAACTATTTTTTTTTTTTTTTTGGTTTTTTGAGACAGGGTCTCACTCACTGTACAGTTGAGACTGACCTGGAATTCACTATGTAACCCAGGCTGGTCTCGAACTCACAGCGATCCTCCTGCCTCAGCCTCCCGAGTACTGGGATTACAGGCGTGAGCCACCACGCCCGGCCTCAATTTCTAATATATACCTTTGTACTAAATAATAAAATCTAACTAGGTACCCTCATTGGCTATAGTGAAAAGGCCAAATTTCCTATATCTCAAGCAATAACAGCTTCTTAAAACATTAAAACATTTGTGGTAAGACTTAGAAAAGCTACATGAGCAAAGAAGTTTTTATGATTTCTAACATTTTCTAATTTTAGGCTTCGAGTTACTTTGAAAAAAGAACCTGAGTTTTAAAGGTTAAAGATAATTTTAGCACTGACTTGTAAAATGTTTTTCATAATGGGTTTGTGATTGGTTAAATGACTATTAATTTATATTTTGTATGTGCATTGTATCCACTTAAAGACAAAACAGGCTACAAAGTAAGTCTTTGAAGTTCAGTTGAGTACACAAAGTAACAATAAGTGGATTTTTTTTTATATCTCTATGGGCATCAACTCAGCAAGAATTCAGTCTGGCTATAAACGAGAGGCTCGTGGCCAGCAACACGGTTTCCCAGACTTGTACAAAGTCGGAAGATTCTTTTTTAATTGTTACCGATACGGTTGCACCAGGTAAAATTGTTAAGGGCTATTCGGCCGAACCGCTAGTCTTTGTTAAGCTTTCGATACATTGAACACACTTAAGTTTCCCAAGCGTACAGGTATCCTGAGCTGCAGAATTAAAATCATCGTCATCATGGAATCCACCGAAGACCTCCCGACAGAAGTTGTTTGTGCTGCTAGACTTTACGGGTTTGCCTTTATGTGACTGTGACGTCATTCTGCTACAGGCTTCCTCTGTGTCTAAACAATGGGCAGTCCAGAAGATGCCGCCCCAAACATTAAAGATTACGGGGGCACCGCGCCTGCCTGGCAAGCGCCAGGTCCTGAGTTCGATCCCCGGCACCAGAAAAAAAAAAACCCACAAAAACAATTAAATTAAGTAAAATGACTATAAAGAGAATCTAACTCCTACTGTTCGGTATCTTTGGAGATATGAATGAACTTTCTGTTCTCTGCAGTGGACCCTTGACTTAGGAACTCGATCCGTTCCCGAGGGCCGGTTGTAACTCGAGTCGGTCAGCGCAGGCTCAGCCCCTCCGCCCAGCCTTCAGCATCTCTCTGCCGAGCACAGCGGGTCTCAGGGTCCTCAGAGAGACGCTGGCCCGGGTTTCCCGGTGAACCCCACACAGGAAAGGACGCTGTCGTTTTCCTTCCAGAGCTCTGTAGGGGTTCAGTCTGCGTCTGAGACCATCTGGAAGCACAAGTGGCCGGCATTTGGGTCGTAACTCAAGACTTTAGTCATCGGTTAAAACTAAACTTCAGGTCTTGACTCCAGTTGTTTGGACACTGGGCTGGTTGTAACTCAGGGGCCCACTGTACTTACGAGATTTTATGTTTATATTATGTGAAGCTAATCACTAGAAAAGGCCTTTCAACAAAACAGAGCCCTATAACAAAAACTACAACGCCAACTGTCAATACAAGATAGACGTGTGTATTGAGGACATCGTTCAGCGTTGTTACAGTTAAAGCAAGAGGAGGTTAGAATCCTCCTTAGCCAAGCAGGTGGGAGTCTGTGTGCTCATCAACGCTGCCTGTGATGTTTGGGGAAATAGCCCAAAGCAGACAGAGGGAAAGATTAAAGACAAAAGGCTTACGCCGTGTGTGACGGACTCCTAGTATTTTCAGAGCTGTTATTCATCCAGATTCTACTATCGCTTTTGGCCCTAGCCTGCTAACGGGTTAGACGTGAGCAGGCGCAGTGGCATGCACCTGTGGTCCCGCCACCCAGGAGGCTGAGGCAGGAGGATCTCCGCTCCAATAAGGCTGAAGTGTTAGCGACCTGCTGCGAGGCTTTCTCCTCCCGATGGTGAATGCAGGACCCATCTCCTTTAGATCGGTGACTTTGCAATCCGGAACAGCAGGATCTGGGACAGCAGGATCTGAGCCAGCCGCCCCCTTCAACAGGAGCACAAATCCCGGCTTTCCACACCCTCCTGGGACCCAGGAATCCAGGCCTCGGAAAGGAAAACGAGGTAGGAGAAAAGATGAAAAAAAAAAAAAAAAAAAAAGAAAAACAAGACCGGGAAATCACGCGTAAAAACTGAACTGCCAATGTGGGGCCTCAATGCGAGTCGCCCGCGGCAGCCTCCCCCGCGTGTTTTAGCTGACACTGAGGCCTGCTCCTCCCGGGGCCGGTACACCCAAAAGGCTGGGGGTGGGAGAGGCCCAAGTGCAGGAAGCTGATCCCCAGATAAAGGGAGGAGGTGCGATGCCAGGAATGTTTCAACTGTCACCCTGGGGCGGGACCGCTCCCCAGAGAAGCCGGCGTCCGCCTGTGTCTCCCTCGGCCTCTGCCTCCGCACCCTCCATTTCTTTGGTGCGGGCCCATTAGTCTCTCCCTAATAATAACCCTGAGAACGCTGCTCTTGGCCGCAGCCCTCACGGACGACTCTGCAAAGCCGCGGGTTCGGTTCCTTCCCCCAGCCCGGGGCATTCGCAGTGATTTCCTGTCTTTCTCTTCTGTACTTATTTTTGCCGCGCCGGGGAAGCAACCTGGCCTTTGTGCGCGCCAGGTGAGTCCTGCGCCTTGGGGTAAGTGTCACCCACTGGAAAGGTCACCTTGTAAAGCCCAGAGTGGGCTGGGATCACAGTCCCTGGCCTTGCTGGTGGGTTTTCCTACTCCACACATCCAGGAGCCCTTCCCCTCTTGTGCTGAAACAGACCAGAGAGGCCTTGTCTTAGTTACTTTACTTGTTGCTGAGACAAAATACTTGACACCCAAGGTTAAAGGAGGACAGACTTACTTAGCTCACAGTCTCCGCCCCGCGGGACAGCCTGGGCGTCGGCCCACACGGGCCCCGGCGGGCGCAGCACACAGGGCAGGCTGTGCAGGGAGGAGGGAGCGGCCGCGGAGACCCAGGCCGCCCGGGACTCAGGCCGGCAGCAGGTAAGCGGCTCTGGGCCATCACAGGGCTTGGGCCAAGGCGCACGGCCCGGGACGTCTGGGAGACACAGAGACACAGAGACAGAGGCACAGGCAGACACAGACAGGACAGAGAGGCAGGGACAGAGACAGAGCAAGAATTCCAGTTTCAAGGGCTCCTGAGGTGGACTCCCCGAGAAAGCGCAGGCCCACCCTCTCTCTTTGAGGAGAACTCCCTAAGAAAACGCAAGCCCGCCCTCTCCCTCCTTCCCTCTCTCCCCCAGCGCCCTCTCTCTCTCTCCCTCTCTCCGGGTGCTGGGCCCAGCCCTCACCCAGCTGGCCGAGCCAGAACTGGCTGCGGGGACGGGAGAAGGAGGCGGTGAGTCCAGGGCCAGGCAGGAGCAGGAGCTGCAGTCCCTCCCGCCTACGTGCAGGAGGCTGAGCCACCTTCCCGGTCCCTGGCTCCGTCTGCCTCTCCCAGTCCCGCCGGTCTTGGGGAGTAGAAGTTGGGAGCCACGGGCCAGGGATAAACGGGGATTTTGTGCAGCCGAGCAGCCGGGCCGAGTCATGCCACACGATCATCAAGTTATACGAAATGACACATGAGATACGTGTATCAGTGATTTTATAAGTTATCATTCTGTCTTTCCGGTACCGGGGATCGAGCTCAGCACCTTGTGATTCCCAGGCAGGAGTAGCGCCCCTGAGCTCCATCCCCGGGCCCAGTGTTATAAATTCATTGGCAAATGGGTGCACAACAGTCCTTTCCGATCCCCAGTTAATACTGGGTCATTTTGTACGTGATCCACGGTCAGACAGCACAGGAGAAACGGCGCGTACAAGGCCGGCCTGATACTCACGTTGGACTGCCCAGCTGCCGCTTCCACCCCGTAACGTAGTATTTTGTACGTGGCTACGTGTGCCCCGTAGCTAATGACAGATACTCCCACCGTGGTTTATAAGTCGCACGTCATTCCAGGCTGTCTATTTTTATGCTGCGATCGTCTAAACTATATGTTTTCATGCATAGTATAGCGATACAGTGTTGTATAGCAGACGTCGTCATACACAATGAGAACCCGCATATCCAAAGCCTGCATTACACTCGTTTCAGACTGCCCGTTTTAAACTTATATTCTATAACATTGAATATTATATATATATATATAT